AGTAGTTACTAACATTTAAAATTTCACTGTAGGGGTCAGCCTAGCAGATGGATATAGCGATGAAAAATACAGTACAGTGAAGCAAGCCATACTAATATATTGACAATTGTCAACTGTCCCACAAATGAGTGGATGTAGTTGTTATATGTGCAACATATGTCCTCTGAAGATTTCAAAGCTTTTAGCTTTTAGTTTTGGTGCAGTTTACTCTAAATTTCACGGATTTCACAAGTTTAAATTTCATTTTATCGGAATCCCCAAGCTTTTTCACTAAATTAGTTTCCTTATGTACAGTATTTACACCTACCAAATGTCATATTTGGTGGGAGGCGACACTTCAACCTATATTTTATTGTCATTTTTTGTTGGTTTATTTGATCTAATAAGTCAGTGTAAGATACATTGAACTTGCTAGTATCCCATTTATCGGCCAATAACACAACAAACATTCACATGCTATCTATTGCAAGACTTATGCCTGGCACAACCGTCACCATGTTATTAGGTGTTTTTAAGTTTCACAAGGATCCTGCCATGACCGTGGTATTGTTATTGTGAAAGCCTGGTATAACCGTGACAGTGCTATACTATATTGCAATGCGTGTCATGACCGTGGTAATGTTAAAGCCTGATATGACAATGCTATATTATATTGCAAGGCCTGCCATGACCATGGTAATGTTAAAGCCTGATATGACCATGACAATGCTATATTATATTGCAAGGCCTGCCATGACCGTGGTAATGTTAAAGCCTGATATGACAATGCTATATTATATTGCAAGACCTGCCATGGGTTGCAATTGATTGAAACGGTTGCAAGAAATGCAACCAAAATTGTCAAGCGTTTGCAATGGTTACAAATGATTGAAACCTTTTCAATGAGATTACAACCAAAATTTCAATGGTTGCATCGTAACGGTCGGCATGGTTGCAAAAACGATCGGATCAATGATTGTGCAATGATTGCGCAACGGTTGAAATTCGGACTTTCAAGGTTGAATTTTTTATAAGGGTAGAGTATTCTACCACTTATTTTGAAATATGGTGAATCCGATCCTGTGTTGAACCCAAGTATTGTAAGGATAGGCAAGTATAGTAACCAAAAAGGCAAAACGTTATACCGAAAGAGACTTAAATAAAGAACCTAAATTAAAATATGCAAATAAAATACCTAGATAAGTATTAATGTATAGCACTAGCCTTGCCCAAGTTTTACTTATCTGATCTTGAATTAATACCGCTTTGTACAATCCAATAAGCCTCTGCTGATATTATGCTGAGTTATTCAGTGGTTTCGAGATTTCCATAAAACCTACGCTATCAGGGGAATCACGAAACCTTATTGATTGACAAGATCGCATGGACATGACGTGTGACTTTAGGCTTCAGACCAATCAAAACATTATCAGGTTGACCTGCATAAACAAAGCAAACTTCCCGTCTACGACTTGAAATTCAACCAGAACAACGGCAACGCCAAAGCGTAGCGAATCCCATCGAACAGCCATGGATGGCATTTTTACAAACAAAGTATAAAGCAAAAATGGCAGCCATTTTTCAAAATGGCCGCCTTCTACCAAAAGTGTCATTAGACCATGTGCCATGCTTATAGTATTCATATACCAAATATGAACAAAATCGCTCCACTACTTTTCAAGTTATAGTAAAAAACGTTTAAGTGGCGGCCATTTTTCAAAATGGCCACCTTCTACCAAAAATGCCATAAGACAGTGTGCAATGTTTATAGTATTCACATACCAAATATGAACAAAATCGCTCCACTACTTTTCGAGTTACAGCAAAAATCGTAAAATAACGAGTAAAGGCCGCCATTTTTCAAGATGGCTGCCATGTGCTTCTTTAATATCTACATTTCTAGCTTTATTAATGACCTATATAATTTTTTTACATCTAAAACATATTGCTATTACAGTTTTACATATTGCACCTAAATTACTGTAAATTCGGCACTAAAATGGCCGCCATTTTGAAATGAGTGGCCATTTTGAAAATTGGCTTTCGAGCAGAACTTCTACCCCCATAGGGTATATGTGTACAAAATATGAACAAAATCGGGCCAACGGTATTTGAGTTATTGCCCGGATGGACGGACGGACGTACGTACGGACGGACGGACGTACGTACGTACGGACGGACGGACGTACGTACGTACGGACGGACGGACGGACGTACGTACGGACGGACGGACGTACGTACGGACGGACGGACGGAGGCGTTCCCTATATCCCTCCGAACTTCGTTCGATGGGATAATGATTTGATCGAGTGTTTCTTTAGAGTTACAATATATTATGTAAATAAATGTACATTGGAATGTAAGAGTCATTAATATAAATTAAATCATGCGATTCAATGTTGATTTAAAACTGATTTCGCGATGAAAATGCACAAAGACCTAGTCCATGTAGCGGGCCATGTAGTCGTCGATTTACTCTATTGTTGAAATCTTCTCACCTCTGGTTATCCGATCGATTCTCCGGCATCCACTAAACTCTGATTGATATTTATCTGATAAAATATTTGTATTTTCATGATGAATTCGTGCAAGATTTGTTCGTGAAAAGTCCCGGTGAAAAGCTGAAGTGTACTTGTTTTTGACCGTGCATAATAATAAGCTAACGCAGCAGGGCCTTCGTTGATTGGTCAAATTTTACTGACATAAACATTGGGTCAAAGCATGTGGCTTTCTCTTAGGTACAAGGCAGTCATAATAGAAATCAAGATAAGTAATAGAGACACTTTGTTGAAGAAGAACTTCCAAATAACTTGTAGTTGTTGCTTTATATGCAACTTATGTCCTCTGAAGATTTCAAAGCTCTTGGAATTACAGCTTTTGGTGTTTACTCTATAAAATTTGACAAAAAGTAGGACTCAGTCATTTTCAGGGAACTTTCTCATGTATAAAGTCAATGGCAGGTTTTGTGATTGACAAGTTTCTCAAAGTTTGCCTTATACTTGATCATTTCTTGCAATGAATTACATTATTACTAGATTTAAGCATGCCCTACATATTGCTCAATATGTGTCAGCATCAAATTTTTACAGTTTTGAGATATTTGACGTAAAAAAACAGTAAAAATAAGTTATTTTTCAACTTGCTTCAATTTGACCAAATTTTTTTTGAAAATCATCTACAAGTTGCCAGGAGTTCAAATCTGACATTAGTTTTAGGATTTGACCTTTACTTGACCTTCAGTGACCTTCGAAAGGTCAAAAAAGTTGATTTTTCAAACTGATTTTTGGATGTAAATTTTGGTCAAAGGTCATCAAACTAGGTCACACAACTGTGCTATCTAAGTTTCTCAAAGTTTGAGACCACAAATCCAAATCAATATTTTGGTTTGAAAGTCAGGATATACATTCCTCTGAAGGTTCCAAACTGTGTGAGCACCGGACCATGGGTCCTTTCATTCCAAATTCATTTACCAAGAGTGAAAAGTAATTGCCATTGGCAGTCAGGCAGGTATGAGTTTCAAACACTGTCTGTACCCAAATGGTTAAATAATATAGTTCCTAAAAAGACAAACATAGTACCTTCATATAAGTAGGGAAATATCTGAATAGAAACAGATGTTTTTCAAAGTGTAAATTAAGTGTAAAGTGTTGATTAGTACTTTCTGTTAAAACATACATGTACTGTAGTTTATTTCTTGGATCTCAAGGCTTTGATCCCTACCAGCAAGTCAGACTTTATCCTATTCAATCATTCATTTATTACTTGTCAGATGTTCGGTATTGATCTTTACTTTTACCTTTTCTGTTTCAAGCATCAGTTGTAGAATGTGATAGATTATATGCTGATTTTAATTCAATCAATTATCTAATTTTCTGCCTTCAAACATGTTTTTATAGATCGGCTGTCTTATTTTTGTCAGATACAGGAAAAGCTCATGAAACAAAGTAGTATGTTGGGTATTACCTAAAATGTTGTTATTAAAGAGACGCATGCTGTTATTGAAAATAGTCATTTAAAGATGCATTATACCATAGGTTTCTCCCTCAGACAATCAATGATGTCCTATTGTTATTGCTCATGTAATATCTCACATATCATGGATATATCTTGAGAATAACTTTTGGATATATTATTGCCGAAATATTGAAATAATCAACAGAACAACCAACCTCCAGAATTAAACACAATCGATTCCTCGGCTAGCGAGGGGAGTTCCCATTGAGTCACACAAGCGCCTTGAACCAGGTAGCCAATCAGGTTCATGATAAACAAATTCAACGACAGGAGGACTTTCCCGGTATATTCAAACTTCAGATTGAATTAATTTCCGCAAAAATAATTAGATCGGCCAGCACAATCACAAAATTTACACTGAAAGAGGGGGATTGGGTACTTTTTCTATGGTAAATAGATCTGTGAATATGTGGTGAAACTCAATATGCCAGAGGGGTCTTGATTGTGCTATCCTATGGCATAGAGCCTCTTTAAAATTAGAAGTTTGTACATTGAATTTGATTTCATAACAATCCATGCGATATGAAACAAGAAGTTAATAAGCCCAATATAGGCTGTAGAGATATTTGACTCAACAGAAAATAGTTCTGACTTGTATGTCAACCAGGGGGTAGATCTCCCAAAGTTAAGTATTGGTATTGGGTCACGCGGTATACATGTGATAGATCCATATAAGGCTTGAAGGGAAAGCTAAGGGGAATCACCTAATACCAAAGAATTATGGGAGCTACTCACTTCTTCTGAAAGTCAACCAAGCTTTTCATGTTCAGTATATTCTACAAAAAATGAAAGATCCTGTTTAAATATAGCTAATGTATTCATGTGTATCCCGCCCTAACCATTTACTGTACAGTACAGATATTTACATTCCCCTCTTGACATGTGCAACAAAGCATTCCATTAATTGTAACAGAATTTGATAAGAGGAAAGTCTATGATCATTGCTGTGGAAACAAACCAGAATATCGAGATTAAAATTGACATTTAACATTTTGTAATTATTTCAGTCGCTAGGCAACTCACAGAGAGAATACGAGAGGGCGGTGGTTAATTTTAGTGTGAAAAATCAGCTGCGTTACAAAGGCAATCTAGGTAGGTGTCATCTGGAGATTGATTTCCTAATCCACTTGTCCACTTGTGTATTAGTGTGTGTCAGTCTCCAGTTAAATTGAAGAGCTAGGGTTTGATTGGTGAAGAATGTTGAGATGCTCCATCTGAAGTTCTACAATGCTGATCAACATTGAGTTCTTCAATGCCTTGAATATGTATCAACCACACTATGTAATTTTTTCACATGCTTGTAATATTAACTAGAGATGCATCTCAAAGTTCAACATGAATGTTAAATTGGTTGACTGTGTTCAATTTTTATTGTATGAAATGGCACAAAATGAAAAATGAATTTGAAATAAATTGATTAAGGTGCTATGGAACTTAACAGGAAATGACAAAACAGGAAGTGACAATTTTTTTGGCATTTTTAAACATTTTTTGAACAAAGATAACAGAGTTCTGTTTTTGAACTCCAGTCAATTCAACTAGTTCCAAATACCATTTACAGGTCCAGGATCACAATGTTCATGGTCAGAATGACCCTAAACATGATGAAATAACGTTTTCAGCCCTATGAAAATGTGACTGAAAAATAGCTAAAAGTAGGAGGGTAGGAAAGGTCACTGAACAGAATCTTTTGAATTTTTCAGAAAATGTGCCCAATATATTGCTCTAAATGATACAATCTTTGAAAATTTGATATCATTCATAGGAAAAGAAAAAAAATGAAAAAACTGATTTGAAAAGCGATCTATTTTCCTTTTTATGACCGCCATTTTTGTTTAAGACAATTTTCTAAAATTTCAAAGATTGTATTAGTTAGAGCATTATATTGGGCACATTTTCTGAAAAATTCAAAAGATTCTGTTCAGTGACCTTCCCTACGCTCCTACTTTTAGCTTTTTTCAGTCACACTTTCAAAGGGCTAAAAAGGTTATTTCATCATGTTTAGGGTCATTCTGACCATGCGCATTGTGATCCTGGTCATGTAAATGATATGTGGAAATAGTTAAATTGACTGGAGGTCAAACCAGAACTCTGTTATCTTTGTTCAAAAAATGTCCAAAAATGCAAAAAAAAATTCACTTCCTGTTTCGTCATTTCCTGTTAACTTCCATGGCACCTTAATAAAGAAAAATCTCAAAGTTTTTGGTATTTGTTCTTTCACATTTTAATCTTATGAGATAAATGACACTCCAACCTCCAATATCCAACCACATATAACATGTTAGTAAGTGTTTGATCGAGAAATTGAATTTCACAGAGTTTGTTTATTTGTTTGCCAATTCATATAGATTATATGTTTTACCTGTATGTAGAATCTACAATTTGACTTCATTTAATTTTAGTTCGCCATGTACGCAAGGACGAGAAAAAATACTATGAGGGTCTGCTACAATACAGTCGGGAACACCTGATGCTTTATCCTTTTCACTTAAGTGATGTCATAGTGAAAGGCCTCAGAACAACACCCTTCGCCTATTACATTGGCATCATGACGGATATTATGACACAAGAAAAAAGTTATGATTCCCTGCCTAATTTTACTGCTGCCGACTGTGAGTATTTGTCGATTCGTATATTTTTAATTAATGTCTTAACAGAGGATGACATGATCACGTTCCACTTGTACTACAGAATGAAGGAGAATGACGTTAACCTTGTGAATCAAGATTTAAGTATGGTTCAAGATAGACTAGAATATAGATTTCACCTTAATCTGACTCTGGTATGTAAAGGATCCGTACCTATTAGTGTACCTATAAGAACTATAAGAATTATTGAAAAGGGTAAAATGGAATTCCAAAATTATTTTTATTTGAATATTTGAAATAGTGTGGAAAATATGGTAAAAAGGTGTTTTTAACAGTGATTCCCATGTCATGTTGACTCCTCAAATGAGTAATTTTGACATATTTTCACAGAACCTTGATTAATTTTTGAGTTTTGTAATTTCACTTGTCAATATAATAGACAGGTTCCAATTCAAATAATTCAAGTTTTTGAGGCATTTTTTAGAAAAAGCAACAGACCTATTTTTACTAGATCAGTTTCTCATGCTGATAAAGATATTAAAAGATGACAGCTCAACGGGGTGGTCACGACACTAAATTTGGGCATTTTTACCCCCCTAGGAAAATATTCTAGGGGGTACTATGAAACTAGTTCATAACTCAAAGGATATATGAGCTATTGTTCTGAGTTGTACACCATACATTGCTAGTACAAATATGAATACTATCCTAAAGTTATAGGTTGATACCCTTATTGGTCTCAGAAAAATACAAAAAACAGGAAAAAGATACACAATTTTTGTCTTGCCAATTTTATATTTGTAGCTTCAAGCACAATATGACAGCTTTAACAGCTCATAGTAGTATTCTAAAAACATTTCCAAGCTATGTGTGGTATTGTAATACATCTATTTTAGTTATGAAGTACTATTTTGTAATTTTAATATGACTTTATAGTGCCCTACCCCTGGAAAATTGAAGAAAGTGGATGTGGTGAATTTTATCATTTTGCAGCATTAAGTTAGAAACGTGTATTGATAGACACCAAATCAATAAATTCATACCATCATCAAATGTTAGGTGACATTCTAATTCATTTATTACTAGAATATAGGACTTAAGATATTTTATATGTAAGTTTTCAATTTAGTACATGTATCATAATGAAATCTAGTGTAATCACATACTATAGAGGTTGGCATACAGTCTGGACATTGACATAAAGTCTAAACATTATCATCATCAATTGATCTCATTTGAGCAACTAGACTATGGTGGTCATCATGCACAAGTAATGTACAGTAGAACCTGCTAAGTGGAACGCCTTTTCAAAGTCCTGTTTTAAAAACCCATTGACTTAATGTTAATTGAACCTCTGTAAGTGGAACACCTCCAAACTTGAACAGTGAACACCCCATATTGAAAAATTAACCTGCTAAGTGGAACAGTCAATTTCCATAGATTTCAATATTGATATATGTAAACAGGATTAATCTCCTTCAATGATATCTGGGTATGAAAACAGGTAATACTATGATAATTGGCAAATTAGGACTTAAATGGATTTTAATGGATTAACCTCCTGTAGAGGTCAACATGTGATGCAACCAATAATTAATTTGATAATCAGCAAATTAGGATTTTATAAGATTATCATTCAGAAAATTTGATTAACCTCCTGTAGAACTGGACCCGTGATGCTACCACTAATTAATATCCCTTGCTGTTTGTTTCAAACTTAATAAGTAAGATTAAAAATGTCATTTAAAAACAATTGAATTATTAGCAGTAGGAACAAGTCTTTAAAACTTAATTGCCTTATCTTTGTACCCGAGACTGGCACAATTAGGAGGATTAAGAATGTCAGAAAACATTTTTGGCAGAATGAGGAGGATTAAGAATGTCAGATACCTTTTTGAGTAAAATAAATGGATTATTAATGGTATATACCTGCCCTGTAATGAAGGGAGAATCATATTTCCAATGATACATATAAATCCTATATTTGATCTTGTATGTTCCCTGCGAACCCAAAACCTCCATAAGTGGAACACCTTCTAAGTGGAACGCTTTGTGGCAGAACGGAGAGTGTTCCACTTACACAGGTTCTACTGTATTTACATAATAATGTTATAAAGGAGCATGTAGGTTATCGCAAACAACTTCAGACAATTCTAACTTGAATTATGAATATTTTCTGACCATAAACATGGGTATATCTTTTAGATCTATTCATTATCTTCAAGAAAAGTAAATATAATGATTGAAATCAGACCTAAGTGATATTAAAGGGAATGGCCCAATCAACATACTTTTTACTAAAAATGTTGACCTAATTTTTACCAAAGATGCAACCTTTAATTATATTGTCGAATGCATAATTAGAATATGCTTTGAGACATGTTCTATTTCCTAAGAGGAAAAGTGGATTGCTCCAGGGACTTTAAAGACACCGAATTGTTAACATTGTTAAAATGATGGCATTTTTGGTGAAAATGAGGTCAACAACTTTGAAAAAATATATTGATGGGTTGATTGCTAGTGAAATATCTCTGAGTCCGATTGACTTAATTATCCCTGTATACCTGTCTTCATGGTCAGAAAATAGTCATAATCAAAGATATAACTGTCTGAAATTATTTGTGATTACTTACCTGAACCTTTCAAAGTCAAATCAGGAGTGACAAAATTATTTCCACCAAATTTTTGACATGTCTTCAAATACAATAATATTTTCTTCATAAGATAGAGTGTCACTTGTGAACTTTATTGATTGACCTGAGATCGTACCACATCTTTATGACATAGAAGTGAAATAGCCATATTGAACTTTAATGATGTTTGTTTAATTGTTGTTTGCCACTTTTCGACAATTGTCAAAATTTGGGGGTTTTGGGGGAGGAGTACAATTAGGTTAAAAAATTCACCTGATTCAGACTATCCTTAAATTAGCACTGATTCACCCGAGAGCATAACTTTTTCAAAACATGTAAGTGTTATTTTTGGACCACTCACATTAATGTTTCGTCTAATTTTCCCTCAGAGTTTCATCATCATTGTCCAAATCTTAGGCCATATTTGTTGAGATATATGAATGTTCATTATTAAAATCTTGCCTTCCTTTGCAGTTTGAAAAGATTCGGCATTAGGTGTTATAAGTCCCAGAGCACGATAAATAAATAAAAATAACAACAAAATGACATAGAACGATAGGCGTTTTCTCTTGTGCGTGTCAGCCATGGTCTACCAAATTGCTATTCAGTAGGAAGAAACTCATTTTTCAGTTTCCATTTTAATTTCCTGACAAATAGAGCGATCATCTCAGGATTTTTTATATGATCTATGTGTCGCCCTAGCAACTTCTGTTTTAGAGAACAATAGAACAATAGAAAAGATTACTTTACCATAATTTTAATCATCCCACATTGTAGACATATTTAGAATTAAAAATATGAAGAGAATGACAAAACCTCTTAAAACACATTTCTTAGGAAACAAATAGTGTCGTATTCGTGTTACTATGGCAACAGAGTTTTTTCTTTTTCTCATTTTTGTCATACAGATTACCTATCATACCAGGACCAAATCCTGAAAATTTGAATTCAGTATCTTCATTAGTATCTTAGATATATAGGTTTCTTATAGTATCCCCTGCAGATTTTATCGGAGTATAAGGAAAATGCTCTGAAGAGGGTTGCCCAAGGATGCCACTTAACAGTATTTTTGAGGTCCCAACCCTCTATTCATGGGAATAGTTAACCATTGTAAAGCTTCTCATGGTTAACTGACAGAATTGATTGTATCTTCAACTAAGAAGACAATAAAATGTTATAAAACCAGAAGAAAACCACACCAACTTTCTTCTATTTACCAGGGGTAGGGCACTATAAAGTCATATTAAAATTACAAAATAGTACTTCATCACTATAATAGATGTATTACAATATCACACATAGCTCGGGAATGTTGTTAGAATACTACTTTGAGCTGTTTAAGTTATCATATTTTGCTTGAAGCTACAAATATAAAATAAGCAAGAAAAAAATGACAAAAATTGCATATTTTTTTCTAATTAATTGTATTTTTCCGAAACCAACAAAGATATCAACCTATAACTTTAGGGTAGTATTCATCTCTGTACTAAGAATGTATGCTGTAGAACTCAGAACAATAGTTTATATATCCTTTGAGTTATGAACTAGTTTCATAGTACCCCCTAGAATATTTTCCTAGGGGGGTAAAAACGCTAAAATTCATTGTCGTGACCACCCCGTTGAGCTGTCATCTTTTAATATCTTTATCAGCATGAAAAACTGATCCAGAAGAAATAGGTCTGTTGCTTTTTCTAAAAAATGCCTCAAAAACCCTTTCCCTTGAGATATTCTGAAATTGGAACCTGTCTATAAGAACTACAATGTGTCCTAATCTACTAAGCTTCATTTCATGTGCCTTTCATGCATGAATAGTTAGTAATCCTATTGTATTGAAAGACACCCTATTGTGTTTTTGTTGTAAACAGTGAATAACCTTCTCCATTCATTGACAGATTGAGGTACTTCCACAAACCAGACCCCCTCTGAATTTACCTTTATTGTTAAGTATTGACACTATTTTATAATTATCCCATCGAACGAAGTTTGGTGGGATATAGGGAACGCCTCCGTCTGTCCGTCCGTCTGTACGTCCGTCCGTCCGTCCGTCCGTCCGTCCGTCCGTCCATCCGCCTGTCCGTCCGTCCGGGCAATAACTCAAATACCGTTGGCCCGATTTTGTTCATGTTCATATTTCGTACACATATACCCTATGGGGGTAGAAGTTCTGCTCGAAAGCCGATTTTCAAAATGGCCGCTCATTTCAAAATGGCGGCCATTTTAGTGACGATTTTACAGTAATTTAGGTGCAATATGTAAAACTGTAATAGCAATATGTTTTAAATGTAAAAAAAGTATAAAGGACATTAATAATGCTACAAATGTAGATATTAAAAAGCACATGGCAGCCATCTTGAAAAATGGCGGCCTTTACTCGTCATTTTACGATTTTTG